AGCAGGCTGCTCCAAGCCCCTGTGTCCAACCTGCCCTTGAGCACTGCCGGGGGGGGGCCAGCCACAGCTTCTCTGGGCACCCTGTGCCAGCACCTCAGCACCCTCACAGGGAAGAGCTTCTGCCCAAGAGCTCATCTCAGTCTCCCCTCTGGCAGGTTAAAGACCTTCCCCTTGTCCTGTCCCATGTCAGCTCCATGCCTCGTCCTTAGAGCAGCTTCTAAAACACAAAGCGCAGCCTTGCCCCACAAACCTGCATCTCCCTAAACCTCTTTTCTCCCTCCCCAAACCAGTAAAAGTGAAGGATTCCTTGGTGTGAAGGGTCACACTCAACCCACTGGCTGTCCAAGCCCAGACCCAGCATCTCAAAGCTCTGTCCCTCCATGCTGTGAGCTGGAGCAGAACACCCAGCACAAGGAAGAGAAGACATCCAGCCACCTTACTCATCCCAGGTTTATTCTTCTCTTCCCTGCATTTCTGATGCAAGGGACATAACCAAGGTCTCCACAGCAGCAAGTCTTCTATAGAAAAAACAGTCATTAATCTCCCATGGCAAAACCATTCCTGCCCCACGGAGAGCCCCTGTGCAGGACAGCAGTGCAGGCAGGGCTGGTGCACGCTCCCAGCCTTCTGCTTGGGGTAAAAACATATCAAAGCCAGTTGTAGAAAGCAGCTACACAAAAGAAATAGTGCTGCTGCTGCACACACAGGCAGCAGGGCACCTACCAGGCAATCCTGTTTTACACACTAGCTACAAACTGGATGTAGAGTCTCATAGTGCAATATTTCCAGGTTTAGGGGCTCCTAGCTAAGTCTGCATTAAGATCTTCTCTAGGAATTGTACTCCTGAGGAATGAAGGGAAAAAAGGGAGCAAAGATTCTATTTCAGTGTTCAACAGCTCACTTCAGTGAATGCTCATTGTGCTCTGTTTTGACACGCTGCACTTCCCTAGGAGATAAAGAAGGGATCTTGTGTGATATTTGAAATGAAGATTGGTACAAGTCAGTGCCCAAACCTCTCCACCACACTGTCAGCAACTGCTTAATGCTCAAATGCTCTATGTTAAAACCAATAAAAATTAAGAAAACAAATTTCCTATTAATTTCTTTCTCTGAGGACAGACATTCCTGCCCTCACCAACACTTCCAGTCACTCCTGTCTAGTATTATGAAGTTGAGATAGAAAAAGCACCCTGACATTGCTTTCCAGATGCACATCCAGGCATTGGTTCTAAAACCAGGATTACCTGTCCAAAAAGCAGCTGAAGCAAGCCAGAAGAGGAAGATGAAGCAAAGGCCTTATCCATACTCTTGGTTAAACAGTGCCAAGTTCTGGTCTGTTTGAGATATGAAATGAATCCATGGTTCAGAGGCTCTTCCAAAGAGCCCAGTGAGCGTCTCTCTGCAGAGCCCCGTGCTGCACAGAGCAGGCCTGGGGTGTGAATCCCTGTGGGAAGGACCAAGGCGAGCCAGGGCATGAGTAAGGGTATGTCTATGTCAGCCTCATGCAGGAGTGGCTGTGGTGAGGCTCTGAGCCCATCTGTCCATACAGCACAGAGGGGCCAGAGCGCAGGGTGAGGGTTACCAGTGCCACAGGAAGGTAAAGAGGGGATGTGAAATCCAGGGGGAACACCAGCTGCCTCTGTGGGAGCTTGTTTCCTTAGTGAGCAGCAACACGGGAAGGGGAGAAGGTGACTGGTTTTTAATCCTGTCCTGAACAGAATGTACATGGCTCCTACGTGCCCGAAACCAGCAAGGACAGAGCAGCCCAGGAGATGGAAATCTCTCCTCTCACCCAGCAGGACCTGCAGCAGCATGAGGGGCCAAGGCTGGGAAGCTGCAGAGACACTCGACAAATCGGGCTCTGGACTGGCCTAGAAATGGCAGGAAGGGTCTGCACCTTCCCAACACACACACCTGCACCCCCCCTGCCCTTCAGAACCACCTGAAAGAGCTGCCTGCTCCAGGCAAACACCAACTGTTAAAAATAAGGCCAGAAAGAGACAAAGCGACCAAAAGAAATAGTTTGGCAACAAAGCAAATGTGGCTGTTACACAGAGGCCAAGTCCTGTTTGGAACAGCACATCTCCCTAACAAAAGGGCCTGCAAACAAAGTGAAACTTCCATCTAAGCACGAGGAATTTTGCCAGCGGAGGTTTTCCAGAGGGTTCTGGGCAGCTCCACACATTCCCCTTCCATGGAGCACAGGGGGGACCTGCCCCACTGGAGCACGGTGCTGGGGAGTGAGGCTGCCCGAGCTGTGTGCCAGCTCCTGTCCCCTGGAAACTAAATCAAGTTAAACCTTTTCTGCTCCTTGAGCAAGTTCAGACAACAACCCCTTGCGTCCAAAGCACAGGCTCTGGCATGAGCTTGGCAGAGGCACAGCTGGCTCAGCACACTGACCCCGCGCCCGCTGCTTCAGCTCTTAACCTACAGCCCTCCGAAACCTTTCTGAGAATGGTGGGGTCATCTACTTGTGTTTAACCTGCTGCTTCTCGAGGCTGGGCAAGTGCTTCATCCTCTGAGACACACACAAGGGCCTTGCACAGAGCAAGGGCACGAGGAAGCCCCCGGGCAGTACCTGTCCTGAGTAAAACTGGCACAGCCAACGCCGCAGCCTCGTCTCCTTGTGGGCTCTGTCACGTTTCTGCCTTTGTGCAGCTTCCCACGGGCTGACTTCCACCCAGTAAGAAACTGGACCATCTCCTGGGAAAGGGAAAAGAAACACTCCCACAGCAGCAGCTGCCCAGGCTGCACGGGCTGCTGGGGGGTATCACGGTCACTAATCTGACTGGCACTTTGACTGTTCCTTTTATGCTCCCCCGGGGTTTGCTTTTAAAGACGATTTACTTGGGTGTCAAGTGAAGTGTATTGGGTCAGGCCCATCACCTCCCTCCTCCTGGAGCAGTGCCCAATAAAGAGCCAGCCCTGTCTAGCCCAGCAGCTCTTCCCTGTAAACCTCTATTATCAGCTGCATCTCTCCAGCCCTCGAGTGAGCAGCCAGCTCCTGCGGAGCCGATCCACCCTCTGTGCGTGAAGGTCTCCACCTCCAGCAGCAGTCAGCAGCTCTGAGAGCCCCCATCGTGGAGTCCAGGGCCATGGCAACTAGGACAGCTCGAAGCCAGTGTTCATGCTGATGGCGTAGCGCAGCTTCTCCCGCAGGATGCTCTTCTTGCTGTAGTTGGGAAGCTTGAGGAGGTTGAAGCACGTGGAGGAGGTTGGGAGGCGCCCACCCGGCTCCTTCTTGCGGATGGTGAAGAAGCCCCGCAGCACACTGCCCAGCGTGTCACCCGTGTCCTGGAACAGGGCAGAAAAGCATCACCCTTGTGCTGCCCTGCTGTGCGCCTTCCAAGCAGGGTGCCTACACACAGGGCAGAGGTGCTAACACAAAACCTGTCTGCTGGGAACAAGGAGAGGCAAACCTCAAAGCCCCGTCCCCCACAACAGCTAGAAGGGAGCTCCTCTTGTAACTGCGAGTGCCCTTAGACATGCAGGGTCCCTGTGGTGAGAGGATAAAAGGCACAGGAAGGTCCCAAGGAGAAAACACAGCCCTGGAGACAGGCAAAAAGAGCCCAAGTGCTGCTGTATCTAGAAGAGGTAGGTGCAGCCATACGCATCCTGTGAGGGCAAGATTGTTCTCACTTTGCCCTACAGAACATGTATCCTCATGCCTTAAAGAGTTTCCTGGTCAGATAGAGAAGAGGAAGCTGGGCAGGGCAGGAGGCCTGCCAGAAGCCTGGCAGGGAATGGGTAAGACACAAGCAAGCAGGGTCCTACCTGATCATCAGAGACTTCCACGCAGCGGATGGAAAACGGAGGCTTGAGGTAGGCAAAGCCCAGAAGTGGAGGCCTGGAGCAGCTGGTAACAAACTGAAAGAGAGATGGACAGTGAAAGAGAGCAGCAGAGAGAGCAGCCTGCCTATAAGAGACTCGTGGCTGATGCACACAGAGCAGAGAGCTGCTGAGGCTAGCATCTGAGCACCCCCAGCACAGCTCTGCAGGCCTTTCACAGTGGCCAGCTATGTAAGACTCTTCATGGGGACACAAGAGCATCGATTGGAGCTCTGCTTCCAGGGCTGCCCCTCTGCTGCAGAGCAGGGTGCAGATTTTAAGGGCTCAAGCATTTTGATAGCCCCTCTCAGTGCAGGAAGCACCCAGCTCACTAGAGAACTGCCCTGGCCCAACCACCCCAAACCACAGCTTGGCCGAAATGACTGTGTTTACCTTGAGAAACATGGCTCTCTCCTCAGGGCTGAAGTCATTGCCCAGGATGTCCCACAGCCAGATGATGACCCGGTGACTCCCATGGAAGCCCCCGTAGTACACTGTGTGTTTTCTGGGGAGAGACAGCTTGTGAGAGGCTTGTGTCCCCCTGCAGCAGGAGGGTCACAGCTGCCAGCAGACAAGCACTGGAAGGATCAATACCTGCCATGATCAGGGTTCACTGCTGCAGAAGACACTGCCAGTAGTGAGCCCTCACCAACACTGGGCACTTTCTCAGAGAAAAGGGAAGGGAAGAGAGGAATTCTGCTCTCAGTGAGCAGTGGAAGAAAGGACCTTTCCCATCCAAAAGAATCATGGAACAGTTTGTGTTGGAACGAACCTTAAAGCTCATCCAGTTCCAACCCCTGCCACGGGCAGGGACACCTTCCACTAGAGCAGGTTGCTCCAAGCCCCTGTGTCCAACCTGGCCTTGAACACTGCCAGGGATTGGGGCAGCCACAGCTCCTCTGGGCACGCTGTGCCAGTGTCTCACAACCCTCACAGATTAGTACCACCCTCATTCATTAGTACTTTGTCCAAATTAGCTTTAAGGAACATGTTCTTCAGCTCTGTTTGTTTCTATCCACTCCTCAAATTTCAACTGGAAGGAGCAGTAAGTTGTGAAGAAGCTGGTCCCCTGCAAACCTCCAGACCACTCTAATGGCACCGTCTGGTTTGCTGAGCCAGACCAACAGACCTGGTTGCTCACTTACTTTAAGTCCTCGAGGTCGATCTCAGCGTTGTCACCAGAGATGAGCCGCTGCAACTCGGGTGCAGAGAACATACGAATCCACTCAGGCTTAATGATGGACCTGAAGCCACTGATGAGTGCTGCTGTCTGGCTCTTGATCTGCGTGTGCATCCGGAAGTGAGCCATGAGGTGGATGTAGCTGATCCTGTGTGTGACACAGAGGTGGCAGTGAAGAGCTGGAGCAGCGAGGGGCACTCACCTCGCCGGTGCAGGAACCAGGTTGCTGACCTACCTTTCCAGCCCAAAAGGGACTGGCACTGCTTGGAGATGCATTATACTTTCCCATCCAGGGCTCTGCTCTTCATTTAAGCAGAAAGAGCTGTTGTTCTGCCCAGACTTTGCCTGTCTCCCCCTGTCTCTGGCACTGCCTATACATTTCTTAGAGCTCCTTCCCAACCCAGGGACTAACTGGCTCTAATAATCACTTAATCAACCTTGGCTGGACAGCAGCTCATGGAGGGGAGCATGTGTCCAACTCCTCCTCAAAGGATCAGATCCCCAGTCACAGGCACTCCTCTAGGTTTGAAAAACAACTGTCTGGGCTCTGATGCCACCTGCACTGAAATCCATGGCTGGAGAATCACCACACCAAAAAACACTTCGGAGATTTCCACCTTTATCCCAGGAGGATGGAAGAGGTGCGCTGTTTGTTAGAGGGAGGCACCATCAGGCTTCCTCTTCTCACTAACAATCAAAACAACTGAGCTTGCTGGTTCTTCTTGATCAGCTCCTAGGCAGACACCACAATCACATTGACAGGGTCTTCAGCGAGGTAACCTCCCTCCACCATTGAGAGAGATCTATTTCTAGATTGCTTCCACTTACAACACTTCTGCTCCCTCCCAGCTACCAATTTGTGTGCACATCTGCACAAAGGCTTCAAAGTTTCTGCTGTAAGGGCGCAGAGCAACACAGAAGACTTTCAACTTTCTCCCTGAGCTGACTTCTGACAAGCCAAAGAGCCTTTCAAATGCAAACTCCTTGGTCAGAGCTCAAGAAAGGAGAGGACTGGAACCATCAGACTGCAGAGCACGACTAACAAAGACAAATCCTCAGGTAGGCTCCCGCTTTCACTTGCCATTAAAGTGAACAACCCCCAGATTACCAGTTCAAACACACATCTGCTTAATAGGTATTTTATCCTGCTTTTATGATCACTGAAGGGTATAAAGAAGAAGAAAATGAAGGGAACAAAAAGGTGGGTTTGGTTTCCAGGCTCCGGAGTTGACATTTGCAATAACTATCTAAAAGCCGGTTATCTGTGAAAATAGCTACAGGGCTCCATGTCTCCTCTGATTTCCTGTGCCCAAAGTACGACTGTCGACTGCATTTGAATTCACCACTGCCTCTTCTGAAGAAGGGTGCTTTATACAACTGCCACATGTTATCATTCTGAGAGGATCTGTCTGCTCCAAGGTGTCTTTGAGCATCTGTGCCCTCTATGTTCACGACTGTGTGCCTGAATTGCTTTGAATCCATCTGTCTGTATCTATCACCATCATTAAATCCTGCAGAATCTCACAGGCTCTGTGCCTTTGACCTCAGAAGTGCTGCTTCAAGAAGTAAATTGTCAATTTTTATTTTGCAAATCAAATTTATTACAATTTCTGCCGATGAACTGTAACCAGTAAATTCTATTAAGATATTTATGTGCTCCTTCTACTCCAATCTATCTCAATTCATTGCAAAGGCAAGCCCAAGGAACTAGAATCAAGTATTTTGCAGTAGTGACCTTAAAAATCTAATTGCAGTACTTACTTATTTTCATTGGTAACGGGAATGGTCTTCCCTCCAGGAACAAGTTCATGGCAAACAAGCTGAGGGAAGAAATGATTGCATTGCTAATTACTGCCTGGAACCACAATGGAAAGCAATGCCCTGCTAAGCTGTTCCCTCCCCATCAAACATCCATTTTTACAATGAAACAGTAGGATTTAAAATTTAAGAAATAATTCTGCTTCTGCCTTGAACCAGTTGCACTAAACTATTAACAGAGTAATTGAACAGTGGGGAACTGCAACTCTCCCACCAGTGCAGCCAGCCCTTCTTCGAGGAA